AGGCGTGGTTGACTTTTAACTTTTATAAAGAATATCTCTTTGGATTTGAGACTTTAGTCTTTGCAACTTTACAGATCTTCTTTATGCACCAAGAGCTTGTAACACTCCAAAGAGAAAGGAAAACTTGAAATTCGCATCATAAGACCCCTTAAAAAAAAAAGCGTTACTCCAGTAACTTAAGTGCTTCAAACATCCATTACAAATTACTGACAACAATGTTCCATTCATCACACACATACAATTACACATAAATTTAAGGTAGTGAAAGTTCAAAGTTAAAGTTAATGTCTTTTTTTTTTCCAGTGCAGTTTTATCTTGTATTACAAGCATTTTAAACAAAGCAAAAACAATCTGATTTAGGGTATGCTTCTTGTAAACAGTGGAGGTAGCAGTACAATGAATAAGTATGGCACTGGGTTGGCCGCACATGTTGTTGCCAATGGGTTTTTTTTTTCCTGTCCCAAGTCAAGCATCACACTGTAAGTTCTCTACACAGTATTAGGGTAATCCAAATGGGTAATCCAGGGTGATCCAAACATAGCACGTGGCAGTCCGGAAGCAAATGTCTGAGGTAGATTCTGGAGACTGTTCTTTGCAGTACTTCCCTGAACAATGATGGCAAAAGACACAGGGTCAAGGCAGAGAAGATTTGGAGAAGTACTTCATCTTCAATGATAGTCAGCAACCCAACAGATACTAGTGCCCAGACTGCATCAACATCAGACACCTGTATAAAACTAAATAAAAACAATATTAGTAGGGAAATATGGATGATAAGTTGTCAGTGTTATCTGTCCTGCCTACACTACCATGCCATTGGGTTAGCTCACCCAAACTTGAAATTTATGTGATCATTTACTCAAACATGACTTTTGTTTATTTTTGGAACACAAATAAAGAAATTTTCAGTGAAATCCGATAGAAATTTCTGTCTATTTACCCAAAACATTAGACAGTTGATCATATAGCAATCAGAGCCGCTTTTCCACTGTCAGGCCAAACCATTTTTGTTGCTTAACCATTCCATTTTGTGCTGATCCGGCCCAAGCCGATACGGATATGGTTTAATTTTTCACTGTTGGGCTGTTAACAGAGCGCTTTGGAATGCAACATAAATGTGTCAGTCGTTACCTTAGTAATGCAAGAGTTAAAATACGGTACTAGATGTAAATAGCACACGTTATGAAAGATTAAATATTTATTTAAATTTGTCTATTAACTTGTTTACTTCGCTCAAATAGCAGGCTTGGCCAGCTACAGAGAAACTGTTGGCTAAGCAAAAGACAAATGACAATCCTGAGCAGCGACGTCACTGCAGGCATTCTACAGCACGGTTCAGCGTGTTTGGCTAATAATTCCAGATCAAGAACGGTTTGTGATCAGACTATGCCTAACCAAGTTCAAGTGGAAATATAACTGAAACTGCTCCTTACCATTCACTGAACAGTTTGGCCCAAAAGTAGATTACATGGCTCCATTCATATGGATTTTTTTTATGGTTTCTTGGGTATCAGAGGTTTGGGGTTAATATCTTCATTCATGTCTTGAAGATGCACAATTTTTTATGGGATGGAATGACAGGAGGGAGATTAAGTGGCATAATTTTAATTTTTTTGTTGAACTAGGTATATAATCAACATTAATCTTTATAAAAGTATCTCAGTAATTTACCAGCAAATACACAGGAAATTTTCCCAAAATTATGTGCTTCTTTAAGGTGTAGCTATGAGAACTTACAAAGCGGGTTAGTTGTAGAAGTATCTGGGGTGATCATGAAGTAAAACAGGTCGGCCTCAGATGGGTGTGCACTGCTGTCAAATCTGGGTTCTAGAAGTATGAAAAGAAAAACAAGTTTAAGACATTCAAAAATTACAGTACAAATATGTTTGTCAAAGTGTCAATAAAGAAGTCAATGACACGGTTTATTTGAAATATTATTATTAAATATAATAAAAGAAATATTGAAAACATTTAAGGTAGCAACAAACATTTTTAGGGGTTACATGATAAATAAAAAGGACATGGCAGAGGATGATAGGGGTATTGATATTTCACTGAAATTAGCCTGCTGTACTCACTGTTTCACACATACGGTGGTGGTCAAAAGTTTACATCACATTGCAGAATAATAAAGTTATATAAGTTTTTTTTATTTATTATTATTTAGGACTGGCCTGATGAAGCTATTTAATTTAACAGATGTTTACATTTTGTCTGCTAATCAGAATTATAGCTGATTAAATAAAAAGAAATAGTGGTTCATGTTTGTTTTGTGATAGTGTTTCAAAAGAAAGCAACACAATGCATTAAGAGACATAGGGTGTAAACTACTTGAATTGGATGATCAGGGAAAACTACAATTTTTTTCTGAAAATAAGTATTAAAAAGTATTTTATGTAGCTTCTGAAGGGCAGTACTAAATGAACAGATATGATCTTTAAACAAAACAAGAAAAATTTACTCATCATCCTGTTCAAAATTTACACCCCCAGCTCTTAATGCATTGTGTTTCCTTCTGGAGCATCAGTGAATGTTTTCACCTTTTATAATAGTTGTGTATGAATTTTTCCTCAGAGTGAAGAGATGGATCTCAAAATTATAAGTCATTGTCGGACAGGGGCCAAATATGCAGAAGATGCTGGAAAAACAAAGAATTTGCAGGACTTGGAGGATTTTTCTGAAGAACAGCAGCCAGTTGAACTGTTCAGGACAAAGGACTCATGAAAAACTATCCCAAAACATAAAAACAGTGTGGGTCATCCAGTGTATGTAAACTTTTGAAAATGTTTATACATTTTCATCTTTATAAAATCAGTAAATGTAAATATCTATTATGTAAAATTGCTTATTCAGGACAGTACGAAATAAAAATAGCATGCATTATGATCCCTCTTATTTTGTTAAAATGATCGCATATTCTGCTAGGGGTATGTAAACTTATGAGCATAACAGTATCTTCTGTAGCTTCTGAAAGGCAGAATTAAATGAAAAATATGGCATGATCCTGATGGTGCCATTAGAGTTGTAGAATATGTTTGTGTGACTGTCTGATTGAGCGGTAATCACTGTCCTGGCAGTTTGCAGTGTCCACTGCAAGTGTATTCATTATTGTGTTTGTCTTTTGGTTCGTATACATTTTTTATTGTTTCTTTTTTTAATTATTTTATTTTTTAATCAGTTTAATGATTTACTTGAAGTGTCTGTGTTTGCAAAATATTTAAACAATTTTCTCAATCTAAATGATGTTGCAGTCCTGCTGAGTTTAATAATATTTGCAGTCCTGTTAAATGTTTGCAGTCTTGCATTTGCTGAAAAATAAAAATTGAGTTTTGTTGATGCCTTGCTGTGTTTGTGGCTTTGTTGACAGTTTTTATAAGAAAAAACCTGTAAAACCTGTCTACTGCTGTGTTGTGTACCGTCCAAACTGTCAAAATTAAACCCCCTTTGCATGGAACTGATCCGATTCATCATTGTGTTCTAACCGACACCCCATTGAGGACAGCTAGAAACAGACCATCACCTAATACAGTCTGACCTTTTCAAACCTGCTATTGAATATATGGTCTTTCGAGCCGGATCTGGCGTTTGTCATGGACGAAGCATTGATCAGTGGCCAAATGCAACCAAAAGAAGCACATATTGTAAGACCCAAACGTCAGGTTCATCCTCCTGCCTACCTTAAAGACTTTGAACTTACGACTGTGCGTCATAGAGCAGTCAGCCAGCCAGCTGGCATTGCCTCACACAACACAGCATACACAGGGTCTTGGAGATGCTGCAGAGAACATTCCTTTGCCCTCTACCAAAGTGTCGAGTCCCATAAGTCAAGGTCCATGGTCGGTGAAAGGGCTCCTTCCTTTCAAGTTATGGATAACACTGAACTGCAACCACCTAGTGCCATATACACCCCAGTGCAGCCAGTTTATCATCCTCGGTCTTCTCCATATCATCGGCCATGAGAAGAGCATAAGTCTATGCCTTATGAAAGATCATATCCTGGCTGCCACACCTACTAAATCACGCATTGATTTGTTTGCCTACAAAACCACCACTGACTCTGCACCCATTTACCTAAATTCATTACTACAGAGTTATGTGCCCTCTAGAAGCTTGCGTTCTGCAAGTGAACGGCGTATTATTGTGCCATCTCAAAGTGGCACAAAATTACTTTCACATACTTTTCTAGCCCTGACTGGTGAACGTGCTCACCATAATCTTCCTCCCTGGCAGCATCCTGATAAAACCAATCACCCTCCTTATCAGAGTACAGCACAGCCAACACCGGACTAATACTTCTGTCCCTCACTGACATTCAAAAACATTGTATGAATCGCCTAGGGAGACAATGGAATATCCTGAACAAGAGCGTTATCAGTACAAGCAACCCACTGGGCCAAAGTCAGCACATAGAACTCATTTCCTTAACTTGAATCCTTCAGGACAAGAAAGCACCTACCGAGGTCCAGTGCCAACCATCCATAACTTCAGTACTAAAGACCCCAGCGAGTTTACCCGATTAAAAATAGCCATTGAGAACCTCTTACCACCAGATGCCATAGAACTGTCCCGGTACCAAATCCTGCTGGATCATCTGAAGCTAGATGAAGCACGTCTGGTGGCAGATTCCTATATCAACTCGCCATTCCCCTACTCGGAAACTATGGCTGCTTTGAACAAGAGGTTTGGCCAGCCACACAAGTTGGCACTGAAGAAAATTGCCAAAGTGATGGTGCAACAAAGTTCGTAGATCAGGAAGAAGGAGGCGGGAACCGGCGAATATTTAAACACAAAACTTTAATAATCAAATAAACAAACACAAAACGAAAGTAAAAGAGGCAGCCACTCACGTACGACAACCGCATAAAACATAATAATGCAATAACAACATAAAATCCAGGCCTGGTCCTCTCTCGTCCTTCACTGTCGTTACTCCTCCTTTTATCCTTACGGAGCTCCTCCATGGGACTCAAGACCGGTGAGTGGCGCAGGTGTCGCTCATTATCATTTACTCCACCGGTCTCACTCCGTTCCCACGGCTTTTGGCCCCGCCCCACTCGTCACATACCCCCATCACCCCTCGCAGGCCGGGGGTACCCCCGAGACTGCACTCTACTCAACCCCCCCTCCAGGGGAGCCGATCATGGCGACCGTGCCCGCGGCCTACCTGGGGGTACAGACAGACGAGGCAAGAGAAAAGGAGACGGAAGGATGACAGAGACAGAGATGAGAGAGGAAAAGAAAAAAAAAATCTCGGTCCGGTTCCCGGACACACTGTCGCTTGGTCCCCCACCAGCCAAGTGAACTCCTCCACAATGCCTGGCTTCGGTGCTGGATAGCCCTCGGTGGACGGCTCGACATTCCTCCGCCACCAGGCGGATGGCGACGCCTACTCCGGGTTCGGGCAGCCGACAGGAGTCCCCCGTTCCCTGATCCTCCCCATCATAGCAGACTCCTCCACTCCCTCACGGACGGCAACCGCCCCTCCACAACCCAGGCGGCCGGCAGCGAATTCGTCCATCACCCTGGCAACTCACTCCAGCCCACCACCTCGAGTGTCCATGGTGGCAGCCTCTGCTCCGCCATGCTCAGTGGCACAGCAGATTCCCCACAGCGACGAGGGCTCTCTGACAGTGTGTTCCTCCTTCCTTCTGGGTTTCGTCACCAATGTAACAAAGTTCGTAGATCGGGAAAAGAAGGAGGCGGGAACCGGTGAACATTTAAACACAAAACTTTAATAATCAAATAAACAAACACAAAACCAAAGTAAAAGCGGCAGCCCCTCACGGACGACTGCCGCATAAAACATAATAAAACAATAACAACATAAAATCCAGGCCTGGTCCTCTCTCATCCTTCACTGTCATTACTCCTCCGTTTATCCTCATGGAGCTCCTCTGTGGGACTAGAGATCGGTGAGTGGCGCAGGTGTCGCTTATTATCATTGGTAACACTTTATTTCGATAGTCCACTTTAGACATTCTATTAACAGCAAGTAACTTTGCAACTACATGTCAACTAGCAGTTAGTAGAGTATTAGTAGACTGTCTGCTTAATATCTTCTAACACTTTCTTTGTCAACTTATTCTACTAACCCTAAACCTACCCTAACAGTCTACTCTGAGAGTTAGTAGACATGTAGTTGCAAATTAATGAGAATTAGTTGACATGTAGTTGACATGTAGTTACAAAGTTACTTATAGTTAGTAGAATGTCTAAAGTGGACTATCGAAATAAAGTGTAACCTTATCATTTACTCCACCGGCCTCGCTCTGTTCCCACGGCTCTCTGCCCTGCCCAACTCGTCACAGATGGATTCCCCAGATATCCGACGAGGAGATATCAAGGCCTTTGACAGATTCACTCTTCAAATTAGGGCTCTTGTTAGTATGTTGGAGACTCTTGGAGATGAAGGAGAATCAGAGCTTCGATGTGTCAACGTGGAGAGACTGTTGAGTAAGTTATCTGCTGAAATGAGATCAGGATTCCGAAGACAGATGTACCACAGATGTACCATCTGTCACCGACAGATGTACCACCAGGTCTGTGTACATTCTCTGTGAATTTTCTGAGTGGTTCAAGTATGAGGTTTAGTGCCAAAGCAGTGAGTCACAGATCAGTTACAAGAGCCAAAGACCAGAGCAGAGACCAGAACGCAGGCGAGAAACCAAACCTACTGCCCGTTCAGCCACTATCCTTCATGGGGCAGTATGACACATGATGACACTGTCACAATGGTACCCTCTGCACCAGCCCAAGTTAAAGTGGAGAAACCCAAAATCCCATCTAAAGCCTTCTGTCCTTTTTGTGATAAAGATGACCATTTTCTCAGTCAGTGTGTGACCTATAAATCTTTTGATAAGCAGCAAATAATTGACTGGATCCAAACCAATCATTGTTGCTGGCGCTGTGGACGTGCACACCAAGCAGCCCAGTGCACACTGAGGAAGACTTGTAGCATTTTTTTTAATTTATTTAATTATTTAGTCATTTATCAGACACTT